TGTGTGTGTGTGTGTGTGTATGCGCCAGTGAGAGATGGTTGTTTCTCCTTTTTAAGACATTTCGGACTGGAAGCAGGTTGAAAGAAAGTGGAGGTTAGTATAAGGTTATTTACACGCGGATGTGCTTTTCCATGAAGTCACAAATCAAGGCGGGGCAACCGGTAAAGGTCACCGAAGAGAGATGATGTTTAACTCTGGAGCAGCAGAGCAGATAAACGCTAAAACCAGGGGATGGAAATGTCAGGTTTTCCATGATGAAAGAGCCTCTTCCTTGAAGTAAATTTGCAGCGGATGACAAGCTCTTTGGAAAATTGACTTGTGTAGAATATTAACTCGTGAGGAGAGGAACATTTCTGCTCATTACGTGCAGCTGCACTGTGTGGTCAAACCGACGTGTTTGAGCTGGTATTTAAATGGGACCCAAACTTGAGGGGGGAAGGGAAAGGGCTTCAATTTTGCAATTAAACAAAACGACCTATACATACAATCATCAAGAGCTTTCATTAGTAACGGCAGGGGGACGGCCTTTGTTTAGGCATGCCATGAGTGAGTGAGCTCGTCTGAACACATGGCCAGCAGCTGTGTGTCTGCGTGCCAAAGCCTCTATCGCACAAATCTGGACTTAATTTTCACACAAGCAAGTTATAAGCTTTTCCATTTTTGGATATCGCCCGAGCTGAATCGATGTGCGAGTTTTCTGCGCTGTCCCGAGACCTGCCGGTGTATTTGTGCAAGCGATTTGTCATTTGGCATAGTTTTAGAGGAGGGGCTGGGGGAAGGCACGAGGAGCACAAAAGTGACCTGGTACCCTTCAATCGCACGTTCCACAGACATCTGAGCGCAGGGTACGAGCCAGTAGAGGCGACTTAATGTGAAACACAGATCGCATCTGTGTGGCAGCACGAGATTCAACAGGAGATACAGAGGATGCTCTCGTCTTATCTACGAGCATGCCAGACCAAAACTGCCAATGCAGTATTGTGAAATGTTCTAAAGCATGCCTCATTTCTTTACATTTTGCTAGGAAAATGGAAAATAGATGCAGCAGGTTACTGAAACATATATGGAAATACAGTATTATATGGCAAAAACAGTTCTAATGAGGTGGGAAGTCAATATTTAGTAAGGCCCCCATTCATACACACAGCCTGAACTCTCTTAGACAGATCGTCTAATAGTTCTCTTTTTTTGGATGTTTCTACCTTTTGTTCTGTTCTCTGTCAAAATGATCCCACGCTGCTTCAAAAATGCTGAAGTCCAGGCTCTGTGGTGGACAATCCTTGACTGAAGCGGTTTCATTGTGTTTTTTTCTTTCCACCTACACCTTTACTGCACCGACAGTGTGTTTGGGATCACTGACATGCTGAAATATAAAGCTGTTGCCAATCAACACTTTCCAGATGATACTGTATAGTAAATCAAAATCTTATGAGACTTTTCTGCATTTATAATTCCATCAATTTTCACAATATCCTCAAAATAATTCAAATTTGGATTCATCACTTTATAAGACTCGTTTCAGTCCAATTCTTGTGTAATTTGGTATACCTCAGGCTTTTCTCCCTCTTTATCATCATTAATAATGGCTTCTTGAGAGCACACCCTTTCACTGAGCCCATTGAAGTTTCAGTGAAGAGTCAATGGATCAACTGAAGGTCCAGACGCATCCTGTGTCAGGTCTTTGATGCTGATTAACCGCTATTTTTAAAGCTAAAAATTTAAGTTTATGTTATGCGTGGACACAAAATAGCTGATTTGTCCCTTGAATTGTTAAATTGTGCCTTTTCTATACTTGAATGATTCATAGGTCAGCGCTAAGTGGTTTTAAAAAAAAAAAAAAATCATATGAACTAATAAAGAACTGAGGGCTTGCTCAAGACATTTGCACATCACTGTAGTTTTGAGAGTCTGTTTCTTTATCTAAGGGATAGTTTATCCTTTGCTAATATGACAGGTTAAATGACAGGGCACACAGAAAGCATGAGTCAGATAAAGGGGAAAACAAACTGTTAAAAGAGGCCTTACAAAGTGCGGAAGAAAAAATACAGAAACAGAAGATGTAATGCAAAGAAATAGATATTTGTATATATGTATATACTCACAATCACAGTGTAAGTTTGGCAAACTGATGTTTAAACTCACTTCTATCTTCCCACCACTGTCTTTATCGGGATCATCCACATACAGTTCATTTACACTGCAATGGATGGAGAAAAGAAAAAAAAGGTTAGAAATGGTTAGAACAGAAAATCAACTTTTAATTTAAAGAAATGTGGTATTTTCATTAGAAAAAGACACTTTTCTCCCTCGACGTCATGCTATTGTGCGCCACTTTAATAGTAGGGGACTCATCTTCTGCCAAATTGCAAGGAGAGAGCATTTGTGTATCTCTGCCGGTGTAATTTCCTTTCTGTCACACCCTTACCAAGTCATCGCTTATTACACATTGCCAAGAGGCTGACGCATGCACAAAGCCAATTTCCTGTCACAAATTTGACTCCATTCATTGGTTACAACACTGGCTGGGCAGAATACATCATAATGAGGGCATTGACATTCATAATTAAGTCCCTGTTTGTGCCTGCGTGGTAACCAGGGAACTGTGCGTTTCAGCCGGAGGATATTACAGACGAGCGGCAGTACCTACATTTCAGTGGCTATGAATCCCGTCAGCTCAGACAGGAAGAGGAAGAGTATGAAGACACAGCAGAGGATGGAAACTGTGGGCAAAGAGGAAGAAAGTCAGAATGAAGACACTGTTCAAACCTAGGTCACTGGTGATGTCTCATATATCACTTCTTTCACATAGAAGTTACACAAGCTTTACACAGAATGATGCAAGTCAAATGATCTGGACTGACTGGGTCTTAAGGAACGGCTGACGTAAGCTATTGGTATTAATGAAATCACAGCAGCTAAAAAAAATAAATCCCTAAATAGCAGTTTTACTGACAGTGTTAGCCCTCCCATTATGTTGTTTTTTCTTTCTTTTAAAGAACCTCCTACAGTAATTACACATTAAATACCAGCACAGCAGGCGGCCATTACAGCATTTCTTCTTTGAGAGAGGTGATCTCATGCTACGCCTTAGTAAGCCCTACAAACAACATTTTAGGCTTCCTTAAACTCACACACTGACAGTCACCCAGACCAAAAATGGCTTCCACAAAAGAGGCTGAGCAGAAACCAAAGTAGGAAAAATTAACTTTAACTGTTCAGTGTCTTTGTGCCGACATAAAGCCTAAGCTTAAAAACACACTAAAGGAGAAGCAGCCAGGTCGTCCGCTTCCCTCCATGTGCCAAACTAATCAGCCGAAGAGTCAAATAAAAGAGTGGCCATGTGTTTACTAAGATAAATGTGGAAGGAACTGATCTGTGTCTGTGGTCTATCTGGTATGGTGAGAGCCTTGGTTAGAAAGCTCTCGCTCAGCAGGTGAGGCATGTTTACGTGGCAACCGTCTCCTAGGTTCGCACAGTCACGTGACCTTGTGGTTTAGCAGGGCGTCACAGGCGGACCTGCGGCTGGAGGAAGCTTTACATAAGGTAATATTTAACCAACAAACAAGGGAGTGTCACTGTGACACATAGATTACGAATTCAGGTTCATTAAAAAACTTGTACAGTAAGTTTTCCCTGCCTTCAAAGGATGCAATATAGGACGATGATTACTAAAGATGAGTGATTTTTAATAGTCTCACAATGGAAATACTGACACCCCGAAATGATTTACAAAGACATGACATGACTGTCTTCTATTTACGCTCCAGCTTATCCGGACAGCTCGGACATTCTTTGGACTGTGACACAAAGGAATCGGCTACAATAACACCATGAATCAGTCACTGACATTTGAAACTAGCCCTATTTATGCAATCAGATGTGGCTTTTTTGTTACATCTTTGTTGCTTCTAAGGCTCATTTTTCCCACATAGCACAGGCAAATTTGATTTTTTATTTTATTTTTTTTTCCACACCAGCCCGGGCAAAAAAAACCACACAAATACTAAGAGAGAAAAATCTGACAAACAAGAGACTGTTACATTAAATCCAAACCATGAGTAGTTCCAGAAACCACAGTGGCCAAACAGAGCTTTTGTTTAGGGTAAACTGAGCCCTGCAGAATGTGCCCTGGGGCAACAAAAACAGATGAGGGTCAAATATTTGGCCTTTTGTGAAAAGGCAGGCTCTGATTCTTTTTTGCCACCGTGGCCTGAATGTTATTCGGCCTGCTGTGGATGAAGCATTAACAGGTTTCTAATATCCCAATCTAACCAGTGGCGTCATCCCTAGACAGCGGATGGAGACAGGAAGGGAGTTAACTGAGTGCAGGAAAAACTTATATCCATTTCCTCTTGGGTGGAAACGTTAGTGTATAACTTTAGTAACTTCTTTCTGCTGTCCATACAGAAAATTATTTTTCTCTGCCTTAAAAGGGTCCAATACTGAAATAACACTTTTAGTTTATTCACTGTGTCATGAGTTTTGTTGACAGTTTTCCTACTATGTGTCTTTGTCAGCTGACTAATGAATAAGACTGCTGCCAAAAATGTGTCATCAGAGCTCTTGTCTTCTATCAAGCAGTGAATAATCAATATAGCCCCTGATTACACAATGACTTATTGATGACAAGTAGGAAAACTCTTGACCTGTCAGGAAAAAGCAGTCAGATTTCCACTGAGGACTCCTGAGGTGCCAGTGACTATGAGACCGCATGATTATTAGCATTTTTGTCATACCAGATGTGCTAAAACAGGTACTGCTCCAAGCTGTTTGCTTTTTACATAAGAGCATACCTCTGTGCTGACAAAAGGGAAGTACTTGAATCACAATTACTTGTCATCGTTTTCCTAAACATCTGCCTCCCACAGCAGGGACTGGCATCTGATTCTATTTACTTTTTATGTTCAAGCTGAAGAAGAAGGTTACAGACTGTGAAGCCCTGCTAGGACTCAAATATCATTTTGAGTTAAGAATGAGGCGGTTTAAAGACAGAGTAATCAAAATAAAGTACTGTGCAACAGTCTCGAGTCACCGTTAATTTCTTTGTATTTTAACTCCAAGGAGCCAGACTTTATTGTAAGAGAACAATAGTTCCTCAGGCTTTCTGAAGGTCTTTCTATGCTTTTCACTGGACATTGGCTGCACATTTGTCACATATTTTCAGTCTACTTCTCGCACCCGACCGTTTGGAGAGAGGTACAACAGTGAGTGTCTCGTTAGAATTACTGCACCCACTTTCCATGCAAAATATAAAGCAATGTGTGGTGGATTCAGAGCTTTGTACAGTGCTCTATGTTAAAAAAAAAAATACAAAGTCCATTATGCCTCCAAAAACAAACTTTGGATTAAAGTGTGTGTGTGTTTTAACTAGCTGGTGTATTGTATGCCAGAGCTAGAATGTAATTAGCATAAAGATGTGCTAGCTATAGATGAAAGTTATTTTTATTTCTGGTTGATTCAGTCTGGTTGATTAATGACAAGCAAATGTTCCTGTTAATATACTTCAATTAACTATTGCTAAAAAAGTGAATCACTAAAGAGGTGAACAAGCCAAGAGGATAAATGATGCTAGGTTAGCCCTGCTTACACAGCTTAGCTTAAAAAAATAGTTTTTAGCAGCTCTGATATTCAATAATTAGTATGTTTCTACTTTTTTTTTTTTTATGTAAAGTTGAGCAAGTTCTTTTTATTATAGTGAACAAAAATAGTATGTTGTAGTTCTACTTTGTTGCATACCTTTATTTCATTTGAGATGTCTATAATTGTGAGTCAACTATAATCAAAAAGTGCTGTGTTCATTTTGCAACACCCATTCTGAACTACTAAAATATTAATACTAAAGTTACTAAAAGCTACACTGACATTAAACACTGACATTTACACTAAAGTGAACTGATTGACTCTACTATGGAAATAAGCTGAGGCCTTTAGACTACGTCCACACTAGCCCGGATAGATTTGAAAATGGCGTTTTCTACTGAAAACACTCCGCGTCCACACTAGCGTTTTCAGTCATTTTCACAGAGTTGTGCGTCCACTTTGAAACGGCCGAAAACGCTTACGTTCCAGTCCTGCGCATGCGTGAAGCGCCAGATGATTCGGCCTGCCTCATTTCTGTCAGCCGTTTATTTACTTTCCGGCTCTTTGAAACGTCGCAGCAAAAGGTTGAGGAAAATTTTTTAAATGGACTGACAATGAGGTGAAGTTGTTGCTGTGAGTAACACAGAAGTACAAAGTAGCAAGAGCGAGTGAGAATTAAACAATTTGAAGAAAAGCTAATAGTTTTGCAATCTTCATTAGTTTTTATTTTTATTTAGTTTTGACTTCAGATTTTCAATTTTATATCAGTTTTAATTAGTTTTTACCATTTGTTTGCTAGTTTAGTTTTTATTTTTATCTTCTGCTTATCCTTGGGTATGTTGCTATTCCAGCTACCATACCCTGCACACTGAAAAGGTCGCCAGTCTGTCACAGGGCTAACACGCAGTGACAGACAACTCGCATTCCCACCTATAGGGAACCTATGGGTTATTAAAAAATAAATAAAATTAGGGCAGATGAACAACCATTGATGCCAGGCAACTATAAAAGATATATCTTGGCCCCAATGAGACTATGAACTCTTGCAGCACTGGGTCTTCGTAATTTTGGTTCAAGTGATTTGCTAAACTTTTGGAAGGCAACTGACTCACACAGTTGTGTAGATATCCCAGGCTCAATAAACATATTCACCAACGCTTCCTCTCGCTTGTGATGTTCCTGCGAATTGACCAACTAGCAGCCATTGGGTCGCTGTTGGAAGCACTGCATTAATGTTTTTTGTGGAGTTCTCTTGGGATGCATCACGCTGCCTTGCCTGGGGCAAGCTTCTGTTTCTGGGGATGAGGATTGGGCGTGCTCCCTTACCTTCTCAAGGTAAGCTAGGTTAGCCTTCTTGTGCGAGCTTTTCAAGTGCACTTTAAGGTTTGTGGGATTTTTTTTCCCTTTAGAAATGCACCGCATAATTTGTCTAATTCCATTACAAGACACTTGCTTTTATCTAAAACACAATCATATTCAAAGTAATCTGAAGTTGGACTGTAGCGATTTCTCCCGA